GGCTCCCACTTCTCTCTTCTTTTCTTAGGACCTGTCTCCAAGTCCCCAGATCACTCAGTGCCTAGGGTGGTTGTTTAGCCAAAACTACACTTGCCTGCCCTCCGGGGCTTTACCTCTGGATAGTGGGTTGGATGCTTGCCTGTCTCTTAGGTTCATTTGCTCAGACTGCACGCAAGGGAGGGGCAGGGGCTGGGGTTGGGGGAGGGAACCGGGTGGGGGTGGAGGTGTGTGGGTATTCCTGGCAGGGCACCAGCTGGCTTCTATACCCCACCGGGTTCTACCCTTTGAACCTACTGTATCTATCTTGTGTCCGGCTGCGACATCAGAAGACCTCTCCATACCTGCCTCTCTTTCTCTTTGAAGGAACAGTTGCAAGGTGTTGATTCTTTTGCATTTCTCTGTTCGCGATCCTCTAAACGTTCCTGAGTGAAAATATTAGGCGAGCAAGAGAGCGTTTAGTGTGACCTGTCCTGTTTCGTTCTGGGACACACCTCCGAGGTTTCTGGGAGCCACTGGGGCGCACTGGAATTGGTGGGCAGAGGAAGAAGGGCGGAGAGGGTCGCCATCCTCCCTCCACCCGCTATAGCGCCCTCACCACATTTTACTTTCTCATGCTTGCGGGGGCCACAGAGCGCCGAGCACCCGTGCCCATCCCACACACCACCGACCGGTTCCTAGGTCCTGGTCAAAATCCCGCAAGTGGCACTGAGGAAAACCTGGATCTCGCGAATGCTTGGGCCCAAGAAAATTTTGGAAAATCGTGATTTAAATAAGATAGTGATGATATCGATGATGTATGGGCGCTTGTATTGAGTAGTTCTGGGTGCGAAAGAGCTTGTACCGGGCTCTGCTTGAAGCGAACGCACTGACGGAGGAGCCGCCTTGACTCTCGCCTTCCAGACAAGGGATCTGAGCTAATTAAGCGCCGGGACGGTCCAGCCCCGCCCCCCGCCGACACCACCTGGCAACGCTGTGGCCACGCCCCTGGGCCAGGCTTTGATTGGCTGGAGGTTTGATTGGCAGGAGAACTGAGGGGCTTTCCCCCGCCAGACTCGAGCCTTTCTCACGCTTGAAGCCCTAAGAAAGGGCCAGGATGGGGAGTGCGTGCTTCCAAATGGCAGCTTCTGTGCACTTAAAAATTTCCTAGTGAAAATAACAGCTTTAACCCATTCACAAAAGTATCTGAGCTCTTGTTGGCCGTAGCCCGAGCTGTATTCACCAACTATAAAGTAGAGCTTCGCAAAAAAGCCGCTGGCTCCAGGCGGTCCGAGAAAGCGTCTTGGGGTTGGCCGCCGGTGTCAGCCGGCAGGGAGCTCTCTGGAAGAAACGCAGGCCTCGCCCCACCCGTCCAAAAGTTGTCCTTTCTCTCTCCCAGGGTAACCACGCTTGCCAGGCACCGGGCTCCGTCGGCATTATGTCATTTAACCCTGTCGGGACGGTCCCCCCGTTATCATTTTTGGTGGTTGTTGTGCAGGACTCTGAGATACAAGGCATGAGCCACTTTACTCGGGGTCACTCGGGGCCAGAGGTGGGGCTTAAACCCTCTTTGTTTGACTCCAGAGGCCGCCTGTGAACTCTGAGAGTCACAGCTGCCTTATCTAGGGATGGGGGCACTGGATGAGACTGAGCACAGCCTGGGCCACGGTCATTGTCCCTCTGTCGGATGGAGGGAGCGCCAGCGCCCCCCTCCCCCACCCCGCTGTGAACTTCCTAAGTTCACAGCTGATAACCGCAAGGTTCTCTGTGAATGCCCAGCACTGAACTTTTTCCGGCATTTTGTATCCAGTCTCATTGTCACAGCCAAAGGTATGAGTGTGGAAGTATGAATCCAGGAAGTTCTGCCTGGTGAAGAGATGTTCAAACCTTCAAACTAAAACATCTTTTTTTTTTTTTTTTTTTTTTTTGAGGAGGGTACTGGTCGGGAAGCTCAAGGGGAGTAATTTCATTAACTAGTGGTTCAACCACTTCTTCTCTATGAATGGGTGAACTTTGATACATGAGACTGGAAACATTAAGGCTAGAAAGGGAGGAGCAGAGAGCAACAGGTGTGCAGAAGTGGACTGGAGTCGGGGAGGGCAGCAGGCCTGGGGTGGGGTGGGGTAGTCCCGTTTCTGCTGCTGCGCAGCCGGGTGCCGCTGCCCTCTGTCAGCCTCTCTGAATGGGCGGCCGGGTGCCAGCATTCCTTGCAGGGTTGATGGGAGAGATGAAGCACGTGCAGTGTGGAGCAGGTGCCTGCCACTCGGGAAGGGTTCAGTAAAGTCAGCACTACTATGATTGTGGCTGTGGTTTTTCATAATCTTTCCCTAAATTGTGAATTCCCGGAATTTGAACATTCCCAGGTCCCACTCTTCTGGGGACACAGACGCAGGGTCAACTTGGCCATTTTAGATCCTCCTGCACAGAAGGATGTCTAGTGCCCAACAGGCTGGCACAGCCCTTGCATTGTGTATGAATGAGGCAGCTCGTGAATAATGCATGTAGAGCCTGATTATGTAAATCCTCAGGTTTTCTTACATTTTTAGCCAGCACATGACAATGGCCTTTTTGGGGCCCTTTGCTGTCCCATTCTGTGGTCTGGTGTTTCTGTTTTGGGGGCTAGCCTGCCAAGTCCTAGGGCGGGGTGGGGGGGGGGCACCTGAGGGAGGGGTGAGCTCTCCAGAGGGCACATCAAAGGAAAAGTCAGAGCTCTGTCACTGGCCCAGCTCTCCCTGACTTTGCTGGTATGAAAGGAGATGGTCCTTTGCCTGAAGCCTGTGATGTTTAATTCAGAGCCATGGATGCTAGAAACCCCGCATCTGAGGCTCCCTCAGAGCAGGGTGGCTGCTTTCATTTCTAGGGCTACAAGCGGTGGAGCCTGTTGTCTGGAAGGTTTGCAGGATGGAGGAGGGCAGGTTCCTGCAAGAACTTATCTGACCAGTGCCTCCTAGTTGGGGAGGAGGGCACCCTTCTATAGCCTTCTATGGCTTGACCTCCTTAGAGCTTATGCAGGCAACACGTACACACACACACACACACACACACACACAAACATACATACAAATATACACACAGAAACACACAGCGCACACGCGCATGCACTTCTATATACTTGTACGCATACAAGCATGCGTGCACAAGCACACAGCCTGAGTCAGGAGCACTAACATTTACAAGGAGAAGTATGGGGCGAGGCCAGCACAGAACACAGGAACTATGGTCAGTGGTCCCGGGGCCAGGTCTAGGTTCTGTTTACCAGCTACGGTGTGAACTTGGGCAAGTCTCTTAACTTTCTGAGGCTCAGTTTCCTCATCTGTAAAAGGGGGGGTCATCATAGCTACCAGGCTGGGCTACCAAGGCATTAGTAACCCCAATCAGTGCTGCAAAGCCCGGGGGGAGCCCCATGCCTATAGATGGTCATGAGATGGCCGTTATGGTAATTTTCCTTGTTTGCCTGATCTTTCTTAGTCTTGGGACCTGCTCTACCTCCGGCAAGAGTTAAGAATGAGGGAGAGTCTGGTTTGGAAATGAATGCGGGAGTGAGGGGTTATGGGTGTAAACTGCGGAGAAGACAGGACAGCCCCTCTGCCGACCACGGGACAGGCCCAGGTCTGCTGGGGAGCTTCCGGAGCGCTCGTCTGGGTGCTGGTCACGCGTGCCCGGCTGTCAGCCACACCTCTGCTGCGTCTGAGGCAGAGCTTGCCTGAGCCACCACATGTGCAGGCTTCTGGCTACATGGAGGAGAGCGGCGTCCACCTGCCGAGTGCCAGGCCCTGGGCAATGCTTTAGAGTGTCCCTCTAGGTGTCCCTCGCCTCCCGAAACCACATGGCCCGTGAGTTCACACTGCAAGAGCTTGGACAGGGAGAGTACCTGCCTCCTGTGCAGTCTTCCCAACAACCCTGCAGGGCACCCGCGGTCAGCTCCTATTTACCGGTGAGGAGGCAAGCCTCAGAGAGGGGACCGGACTTGCATGAGGCCACAGGGTTAGTAAGTGGAAGGGGGCGGAATTTGAACCCGGGACTGACTCCTGTGCCATGTGACAGAGGAGATAACAAGGTGAGAGGAGGAGGGGGCTTGTGGCTGGATCACCAGTCCGAGTCTCCAGTCTTGGTTTCTCAAGGCAATGCTACTACCAAGTTCATGCTGGGAGGCAGGTCTCTCCTCCTCCTGCCTTTCCTCTGGGGTTCCCAGAGCCTGAGCCTGGGGTGCACACCCGCCCATGCCTCTGCTGGACACACTCAGATTCTCCTTTGCAACTCAGCGTAGATGTCATCACTTGGAAAGCACTCCCCAAATGCTCTGGGCTGGCTGGGTGCCTGCCTCTGGATGACGCAGCCTGAGCACCCATTAGACAGAGACTTTAAATCCTTAAATCAGCCTGGAGTCAGTTCTTTACCCCTCTGTTGTGCACTAAAGGACGTCCTTTAAGGATCTTCAGGGACATCCTTGAATGGATGGATGGATGTCCTTGAAGATCCTTAAAGGACGTCCCTTAGTGCACAACAATCGGGTAAAGAACTGACTCCAGGCTGATTTAAGGATTTAAAGTCTCTAACGGGTGCTCAGGCTGCGTCATCCAGAGGCAGGCATCATCCATCCATCCATCCAACCAACCATCCGCTTGAAAATCTATCCATCCACACATCCATTCATCCATCCATCCATCAAATACACTCAGACTAGTGAACCCAAATCTTTATTCACAGATGGCTTGTTCATCTATGTATCCCTACCACCTAGAAGAACAATACAAATGCAAACAATAGCTACAATTACAAAGATACACAGGAGCTAGATAGTGAGTTTCAGAGAGGTTAAGGAATCCACCTGGGATGACAGAGTAAGTGGTAGAGCTAGGGTCTGAAGCTAAGTGTGTCTGATGTTAAAGCTATTCTGCCACCTCCCTTTGCATCAGTAAATGTGTTCTGTGCTGCCCGGACCCCCAAGCCCTCACTTTGCTGTTTACTAAAGGGGACCAAGGGGCTGCAGCCTCTGAGGTTCTGCCCCAAGCAAGACCCCTCACCTTCTGCTGCCGGATGGCCCTGTTGATTCTCTTCTCCTGGCGCAGCTGGTGCTCTGTGCGCCCCAGAGCCTCCTTCAGCAGAGCCTTCTCTTCCGCCTCTTTGTAGATGTTGTCTTCCAGCTTTGCCACCTGCGACTGGTACATCTGCACGGACACTTTGCTCTGCCTGAGCACACAGGAGAGACACAGGCTCTTTTCCCCTCCTCTTTCTCATCCATGTCCCCAACCTGGGAGAGTCTCAGAATACTTCCGTCGGCGGCTAACTTAGTGGCAAGCAGATTTAGGTCATAGAGGAGAGAATAAATAGCTCATCGGGTGCCTAAGTGTAGTAGGAGGGTATGCTGCCAGACCCACCCCCCCCATTTCCCAGGGAGGGTGTAGGGGAACAGAGGCCACTAGAATAGGGTGAGCTATGGGAAGTACATATGGTGAGTCCTAAGTCAAAACGCACGCAAGGTGCAGCTTGTTTGTGGAGAGAGAGACAGAACGAACACTGAGCACCTCAATCACTGCTTTCTCACGGACAGACTCGCCTCTGTCGGGCCCTAGTCATCGCCCCCCCCCGCCCCCCGCCCCCAAGGTCTCTCTGCCTGCCCTGGACCCGGGTCTGCTGCTGCCCCGAGGTTCAGCCGCGAGAACAGACACCTGGTCCTTTCTGGGGGGCCACCGGCGGTACCTGAGCTGTTCTATGTCTTTTTCGTATCCTCTCAAAAGCTCCTCTTTTCTCTCCAGCCGGTTCTTGAGTTGGGTGATCTTATCAAACACCAGATCGAGGTCCCTTTGTCGGAGGTGGTTGACTCTCTCTCTCTCTTTTGCAGAGAGGTATTTCATGGATATGTGACCGGACATGTCCTTGATGTTCATCAGACTCCCGAGCGTTTTGCTCATGTCCATGTACTACGAGGAAAGCGTTTGGCAGATAAGAGGCCTGGCCCAAGGCTGCTGGTGGTTGCTTTGAGGAAGCCAACATCTAATTCTGTGTCGTTCATTGTCTACAATTGCCGAGAACACACCCATGCTTGGGAGCGAGTGCCACTGGGCTTTCAGTAGGACTTTCATTTACTCCACATCCCTTTATGCTATGCCTTTTTGAGAACCAGGAGGAAAAGTGACAACAGACATAAACATTCATTCTAACTACCTAGTTTTTCAAGGAATTGGACTATGCAATGTCTGACCCATGCTGGGAGAGTAGATGGGTCTTGCAGAGCTATTATTACAAGTAAATATGCGTGTGAGGCTGATGTTTAGTTATACTCCCTGGTGGTTAACGATGACTGTGGGGGACCCAGCTTTGGACAGAAGGGGACGGTGCTGTAAGTACATACCAGCTTTTCACTGAGATCTAAAGCCTCAGCTACATCCATTTTCCCTGACTTTTCCATGGCTGGGATGGCTGAGTTGGCAAGGCCATTCTGAGGCTGAAATAAAAAAGAAGTGAAAACTCTCTTGGCATGCCATTGTGAATGTCTGCATCCTGGAGATAAAACACCGTAGTTATCGAAGATTGACTTGAGAGACTTGATTTTCCTTTCAGTTCCTGACCAGCCCGTCTGATTCCTCTGTCAACTGCTCTCTGGCAACTCTGCTCCCACCCTTCAGAACATGACTCTCACTTGCCTTGTTCTCTGGTTACTTACTGTCTTCCCTCTGGACCAGTGGTTCTCAGTCAAGGGTGATTTTGTCCACCCTCCCCTCCATGCCCCAGGACCTTTGTCAATGCCGGGATACATTTTGGTTGTTGCAGCTGGAGGTGGGGAGTGCTACTGGCATCCGGAGGGTGGAGAGCAAGGATGCTGCTAAACATCCCACAGTACATCAGATGGCCTCCCAAACAAGGAATTACCTGGCCCAGATTATCAGTACTGCTCAAGTTGAGAAACCCCAGTCTAGAGGACAAGCTTCATAAAAACAGAGGTCGTGTTGCTTTTGCTCACTATTCCATTTCTTGTGCCCAGCATGGCACCTGGCACAGAGCGGGCAGAGAAAATAGCTTTCCTCCTTTTATTAAAGAATCTCATTTTTAGGCAACAGAAACTATACCATACATATACACCAAATTTGGCCAAACCTTCTCCTAGTGCTGGAACCTGCTGGGCGAGCATCCCTTCAGACCCACTGCCAAAACAATGCCCAGTGGTGTTCACAGCTGTACCCTCAGTAACACCCTCTCAGCCAGCTGGCTGCTGAAAGTCCCTACTGACCGTACGGAAGAGCCACCAGACAGATCAGGGAGTCTGGAAGACCATAAATAACTGTAATAAACCTCCCTAAAAAGCAAACTGGGTTTTAAGTGCTCACCCCGAGCGTCTCTTGGCCCATAGCATTTGCTGGCACTCCACTGTAAGCCTCTGAGATTAAAAAAACCCAACTACAAAAACATAAAGGCTCAGAAAGTGACTGTGATAGATAAGCGTGAGTTATTTGTCTCTCCGTCTACAGCGCTGAGTGTGAAGGAGGGGATTTGAGGATGACAGAGCCTGAAGTACCACTCAGCGTCTCCAGCCCTGGGCGGTGTCCTCTGTACCCTGCTCCGGGTTCCCCTTCTTTTCCTGATGGAGGGTCACCTAAGGCAGAATCTGGTGGATGAGGTTTAATCACACAGGCCCACGTCCTCTGCAGACTAGCAGGGAGCTAGACACAGTCCTGGGTCCATCAGTCATTATGCTGTGACCTTGGGTGAGGTACCTGACCGCCTGAAGTCCTAACTTTTCTTATCTGTAGAATGGGGATCATGACAGTAACTCCAACAGAAGGCTGCTGTGAGGGTTGAATGATAATAGGCTGAATGATAAATGGTAGCTTAGCTCAGTGCCTGGCACACGGCAAACACTTAATAGATGTCAGCGAGCCTTCCTCCTGCTCCTTCTCTTCTTTTAGTTTGCATTATTGTCAGCCTTGGAGGACTGAGCTCTTCCGAGAGGGTTGGGGGTTCTCCTGCTCTGGGGTGGTGGTGGTGGCATAGGGTCAGTGCTAGGGTGAAGATAAATCTTGGGAAGCAGGTCAGGTTATGAGAGCCAGCTGAGTTCCCCGCCCGGAGACTGTCTCTCCACTTCCAACCTCGGAGAATGAGGGCTTATCCAGAAAGCCAGCACATTCCTGAAGACTCACATCCCTAGCAAATGTCTAGAAAAATGGTGCAGGAGAATGTTGGTACAGATAGGATGACTTTGTTCCGTGGTCTAAAAGCCTCTGCATGGAGGGGAAGAACGAAGGGGAGTAAGTCGGAGGGGGAGACGAACCAAGAGAGACGATGGACTCTGAAAAACAAACTGAGGGTTCTGGAGGGGAGGGGGGTGGGGGGATGGGTTAGCCTGGTGATGGGTATTAAGGAGGGCACGTTCTGCGTGGAGCACTGGGTGTTATGCACAAACAATGAATCATGGAACACTACATCAAAAACTAATGATGTAATGTATGGTGATTAACATAACAATAAAAATAAAAAAAAATAAAAGCCTCTGCGTGGTGTAGATCCAGCTGTGGCAGTAAGCCACGCCCAGCGGATCCCGTGATTGACCGTGACCCGAGCGGTCCATTGTCAGGTGTCAATCAGGCACCCATCAAACATCCATTTAGGGTACAGGGCACCTTCAACGTAACAGTCAAATCACTTCTGAAAATCCTAGCAAATAAAACTATTTCCCTTAAGAGAGGAAGGGTTTCTTGAGTGACACTATCTAAATACTATTAAGCAATCATAACAGCTATCATTTATTAAGTGTTTGCTCTGAGCCAGACGCGGGGATAAGCACTTAAACCAGCCACTTCTAGGTTCTCACCAGTGCGCAGCTGGGCAGAGGAGGCCCAGAAAGGCTAAGATTCCACCCGAGGTCTCACGGATGGCGGGGCTGGCATTCGGACACAGGGCCCTCTGACTCTAGAACTTGCGTCCTCTTAATCAACCCTCCAGCTGCTCTTTATGTGTTCACGCTTCTCAGTTTGCCGTGCAAAGCAAACTTCAGGCAAACTCATGGCATAATGTTAAAAATTAGCCTGTTGAATATTTTCTGCAGGATATAACACATCGTGTGAAAAGGAGGGCCCACCAGAGATTGTTCTGGACCGGTGTCAGTGCAATGATTTAACACGCTGGGCACAAATGGAGAGCAACCTCTCTGTTCAGACATGGGGCTGCCGGTTCGCCAAAGCCTCGAGCTGGTGGCGCAGACGCTGGCCTCCCAGGGAGGCCTGGCCCCAAGCCACTGACGTGTGAGGCCGTGCCGGGGCACCCGGCTAGTGTCTGCCCTCACGCCCACCCTCTCCACGTGTCACCGCAGAGAGAAACTTTCTTTGGTTACCGCTCCGATCTCTATTCTTGAGAGAGTTGGCAAATCAGGTTTTGCGTCCAAGAATTTCTGGACATTTTTTTCCATTCTGACCGTCTTTAAGTCTAGATAGGATTCAGTCAGGTGGTCCTTATGATCTATAAAATAAATGAGAGTCAAAAGAAAGGGTCAGGAAGAAGTTATTGCATGTAATAATCACAGCTGCTGGGGTGCCTAGGTGGCTCGGTTGGTTAAGCATCTGACTTCAGCTCAGGTCATGATCTCAGGGTCCCAGGATCGAGCCCGAGTCGGGCTCCCCTCTCAGCAGGGAGTCTGCTTCTCCCTCTCCCTGCTCGCCCCCCCTCCCCAGTTCATGCCCATTCTCTCTCTCTCTCTCTCTCAAATAAATAAATAAAATCTTAAAAAGAAATCACAGCTGCAGTTTACTGGACCTTACTGCGGGCCAGTGCTGATCTCCACCACCCTCCCTTGGCAGGTGAGAAATAGGCCTAGACAGGTAAATGGCTTGTCCAAGGTCACACACAGTTAGTAGGAGGCTGGGGCCTCGCAGGAGCCAGTGCCGAGACATGGAGGGTGAACTTTCAGCCACAGGAACCAGGCTGGAACTTGAACCCTGGCTTCTGGGGCTTAGCCCAGCACTCCCCCCACCCCCAGCAACAGGTGCAGTGTCTTGAACACGTTATCCCTTCTAAACGGAGTATCCTAGGAGGTTCCCAAGGCTGATCCTTGCACTGTGAGTCCATGACAAAGTTCCCACCAGGCCACAGCGAAATAAGAAAAAGGACAATGTAGTGAGTTTTTCATGAAATCCCATTTATTTAAGATCAAGGCTTGCCCTTGACTCTGAGATCATGCCTGCCATCTTTCCTTGTATGACAATGTCCTTTCGGCTATGAAGTGATGAGACAGAAGACGGTGGTCCTGGCCAATGTCAGTGCCCAGAGTGACCTCTAGAGTCTGGGGCTCAGGGCTCTGAGCCGGGAGAGGGAGACCAGCAGGGAGGGAACTTACTTGATGAGCAGACCTTCTCAAGCTCCTTAATTCGCGCACGCAGTTCAGACAAGGCCTTTTTCTGACGCTGAATGATTTCCTCATGTCGGGACCCTTTGCACTTGGCCCCTAGATCACTGAAGGATTGTTCCTGTGGCCAGAATGGTATAGAGGACAGCTTTAACAGGGGTCAGAATCTCTCTCTTATAGTCCAAGAAACATGTACAACTCATGACTAGCAGAGACCCTGTCACTTAGTACCTTGGAAGCTACTGTAAGGGGCTTCAGCGCAGAAGGAATTTAAATTTTTCATTTCAAATATAAAGTCACATCTAGGAAGATTTCCAACTTTCTTACCTACTTAGCATATCTATAAATAAAACCCCCCCTCTATGTTCCCTCTCTGTGTTTTATATTTTCTTCTAATATTCTTCTAAGCTTGGGTTTCCATTTGTTGTCATTTGGGTCTTGTCTCAGAATAATCACATCAAATTCTGCTCTAGGAGGGGGCATTTTTAGATAAGAACACATAGTACTTTCTTCTTGACTGGAAATAGGGATGGCTCCTCAATATTTGCTAGGGGGAATTTGATAGATTGGGTCATGGTTGGTCTGGAGAAAGGAAAACCTTCCTCCGAGACTTCTGGAGGTTCTACTGTCCAACAGAACTTTCCGGGATGAAGGAACGGTTCCACTTCTTGCACCATCCAATATGGCAGCCACCAGGCACAGAGCACAGAGCTAGCGTAGGGCTTATGAAGGGCATAGACAACGAGAGGTCTTCTCTATCTTTTAAGGGTCATGCCCACCTTTCAGATTCAGAAGAACGCAAGGTTCCATCTTTCAGGAAAATTCCCAGACACATAAAAATTTGCATACAGGGGCGTCTGGGTGGCTCAGTTGGTTGAGCGTCTGACTTTCGATTTTGGCTCAGGTCATGATCTCAGGGTCCTGGGATCGATGGTGCCCCGCATCGGGATCTGCACTCAGTGGGGAACCCGCATGAGGATTCTCTCTCTTCATCTCCCTCTGCCCCTCCCCCCTGCTCTCTCTCTCTCGAATAAATAAATCTTTATAAAATTGGCATACAGATTCTGGAGGTTCAGGGCCCCCCTGAAGCCCAGTAATGAACTCTATGCATCACATGGGCTCCGTGAGAGCAAAGTCTTTGTCTCCATTGGAGACTGTGGTATTCCCAGGGCCCAGCACTGTGCCCGAGCTTACTAAACGGTCCACAATTACGGAGCCTGAATGAAATGAGGTTAGAAGCAGGGTGGGGGGCGCCTGGGTGGCTCAGTTGGTTAAGCGACTGCCTTCGGCTCAGGTCATGATCCTGGAGTCCCGGGATCGAGTCCCACATCGGGCTCCCTGCTCGGCAGGGAGTCTGCTTCTCCCTCTGACCCTCCCCCCTCTCATGTGCTCTCTCTCTCTCTCTCTCATTCTCTCCCTTTCAAATAAATAAATAAATAAATAAAAAAGAAAGAGTAGCTTTAAAAAAAAAAAGAAAGAAACAGGGTGGGAAGGAGCTTGTTCCAGCTTTCTGGCTGGGACCAGGGCTCAGCAGCAAAAAGAAGGCGGCGCGCCACTCCTGGCTGGACTTAGTAGGACCTCACTTGACCCTGACATGGGCTTCAGCCTGCTTATAGGCTGCATGGCTGGTCCACTCTTCCCAGGTTGATTCTACACTGGCCTTGCTGTCTTTGAGGATGTCCGTTTGCCCAGGAAGGTCGTGTGTGTGTGTGTGCACGCACGTGTGCGGGAGTGTGGAGAGGAGGCTAGGGTCTACTGACCTGGGGCTGGGGCAGCCCCAGCAGCGAGGCTCGGTGACAGCCTTCATTCTGTCTGAAGAGTATGCCCGAGCCCGATGTGACCCTTACTCATGGCTCTTCTGGGAATTTGTTTATTTAGAGAAGAAGATGGAGATTCTTTCTCATACAACTCTGAAGCCCTCTGACCCACTCTGGCTTAGAAAGCAGGAAGTAGCCTGAGTTTGGAAAGCCATTCCGAGAAAGAACAAATACTTTTTTCCTTTTATCTTGCAGCCTCCCTCCCCCATCCTCTTCAGTTAATCCTGCCTCATAAGGGAAGCTAATAATCTTGGGCGTCCAGTCAACAATCCGTTCTAGCAAACTTGTGCAGAGTCAGAGGGGGTCTGGTGTGAACAGGAGCCCTGGGCCTCCCCCCCTGCGCCCAGCCCCGGGCCTGGCACTGAGTGTCTGCTTATGGTTGTTGAGCGAGCGAACGAGTATGGGCCGGGTCCTGCGCTGAGAGCTCGGGATTCCGACAGGTCTGAGCCAGGAGCGAGACTTGCTCCCCGCCCCGCAGAGCTCAGGGTGCGGGACCGCTGGCGCTTCCCCGGGCACCTTCACCTTCTGTGAAACGCTCCGGACAGCGGCGGTGCTGTCCAGATGGCTGGGCCGCGAGCCCTTTCGGTCAAGCTGTGTGCGGCCCTGGCTCACTGCTGTTTGGCAGGGGAATGGCATCTTTGAGAAAGCAGGAAGGCAAGCTGACACACTTGGCCTTCTTTCCAAGTGAAAATCCAAAGCCCATTACTGAAATGCCCTGTTGTCTAGTTTCATAAAGCAAAGGGGAAAAGGATGTCCCTGGACTCCAGGAAACCCGAGGCCTCGAGGAATTGCTGCACCCGCAGTCAGCCTTCCACAGACAATGGGAAGCATGACAGCCCCCGCCCCAGGGCGGAGTGGGAGTGCCACCTTGGGGGGCAGCGTGGTGAAGGCTCTTCTCACTCAGAGACACGCTCCCTGTGTTCCGAGCAGTTGAGGCGTCCAGACATGCAAAGGCTTCTGGGCAGGCACCCCAAGAGGAGTCACGGAGAGACGGGCACGCAGCAGAAATGGTAAATGGCTCTTTGGGAAGACAGTCTGGCCCCATCAAGCACAATTTGGGATGCCCTCTGGACCCTGCATTTTCATACCTGGGCATTTGTTCTATGTACACACCTACAGGGACATTAACTATAGCAACGTGTGACAGTAGACACAGCCTCAGTGTCCATCAGCAGGGGCCTCGGGGTGGACAAGAGAGAGGCAGTGGAATTCTGCGCACCCAGTTAAAAGAACAGAATGGCTCTTTATACACTTACTAGGAAAGAGGGTCTTTATATATATAGTGTTCAGTGGGGGAAAAAAACACGTTGCAGAATATACATGGCTTAACGCCATTATTTTGCAAAAAGATCTCTGGAATAAACATGCATATATAGGGTGTGTGTGCTTGTGCGCATAAACAAAGTTTGTTTCTCTACAACCCCACGAGGTGGTGGCTGTCACGCCTGCTACCTTCCAGACAAGGGAGCCGGCATACAATTACCTCCCTGGGGTCAGCGTTTCTGGGTGCAGGAGTCCCACCCCGGGATGGAACCCGGGCGGCCTGGAGCTGAGGCTGGCCTTCGCGCACTGCAGGGTCGCGCCTGTATGAGGGTAGGGCAGTCTCTGTGAGGAAAAGGGCTGACGGCGCACGTGCCAAACTGCCGACAGCCGTGACCTCCAGTGGCCGCGGGAGGAGGGCAGGGACTACCGCTTTTTACTGTGCGCATTTCGCATAAGCAAGTCAGCTCTTTTGGAACTTAGAATGCAAATGTTTTCAGACGCAAAGACGGGCACCATTGGGCTCTTTTTTTTTTTGCACTGTCCCCGAGCGGCCAGGCCTGGGCGGCACTCACCTCTTGACTGCTCAAGAGAATGTCAGTGTGGACTGGTTCTACCTGCACTGAGATGTCACACATCTGGGCCGTGTTCCTGGGCTTCCGTTCCTTCTCCTTGTACAGCTGGACTCTGTGTTTCTCTTGGGAGGCCCTAGGGCAGAGGAGATGAGTCACTGGACAGCAGGATGGCTGGCAGCCTGAGGCTCCAGGAACCACGACTGACCTTTGGAGCCACTGACAGAACAGAAAAAGGAACTCCATTTTTATAGGTAACTGAAACCTTCAGGTCTTCAAGTCTCCTGCCCGCAGATTTCTGGAGACTTTAGTCTCAGGGGACTTCTAAAATCGTGGCCAGGGCGGCAGACACCTGTCCCCCTTTGTTTCCCATACTAGGTCTGCGGGACACCTGCTGGGGCATTCACTGGGGCACTTACCGAGTATCTGCTGTTTCTAACACTTTGTACGTGTTAACCCTTCTATTTCGCGTAACAACCCCATGGGTTGGGGGCTCTCCTTGTCTCATTTTACAGGCAGGGAGAGAGACACACAGCAATTTGCCCGTGGTCGTGAAGCTCGTAAGTGAAGGTGGCTGGCTTTGAGTCCAGGCAGCCTGTGTCTTTAACCACTGTGTGAATCTGTCTTGGCCAGAAGCCAGGAGGCATATGAAGCTACAGGGTAGTCACAAGATGTGGATTTTACTCAACCTTTCTTGGAGAAAACATTACTCTTATGTCAAAATAAGGACAAGTTGTGGATGAAACTGCAAACTCACATGTATTTTTCAGACTAATCTGTGGAATGACAACGAAATTTTACATTTATTTTAAGCTGACTTCTTTTACCCCAGTTTATACGTTGGTTCCATCAATATTTATAAAGTTCCCTACGTGCCAGGCACTGTGTGAATGCTGGGGAGTCAACAGCAGGCAAGGTCTATATGGGGGTCCTTATGGGGAAGGTGGACAGTCAAACAGGCCATAGCAGCCTGGCTGTGTGAGAAGTGTTAGGTTGCATGGAGTGCAGGGGCTGAGAGACCCCGGGCAGAGTAGGAGCCCTTGGCTATGTTGGGTGAGGGTAAGTGACAGAGGGCTCCTTGGAGGAAGTGGCATTTAAGCTGAGGCCTGTCCTCTGGAATACTGGGCAGGAATGTTTGCGAGGCGGAGAACTAAGCAAAACCCTGTTTTAAATGATGAGGTTGTGAAATAATGAAACACATGCCTGCCTGCCATCCCTCCCTCCCTCCCTCCCTCCCTCCCTCCTTCCCTCCCTTCAACATTTACCGAGTGACCTCCACGTGGGAGGCTCCCTGGGCACTTGGGTGTGTCTGGGCTCCCTATACCATGAGCCCATGGGGTTCTCACACACCTGAGCGCCTCCTTGAGGACCCCCAGCTCCCTGTCCTTCCTTTCCACCAGGCTGGTCAGCTGCACCATCTTTTCCTTGAGCGCTCGCAGCTCACTGCTTTGTTGCTGGACCAGCGCCACGTTCCGCTCCAGTTCCATCTTCTGCTTTTCATTAAGCTCCCCTGGGAGAGACAGGAAAGCTGGTGAGGGGGTCTCCCGCCTCAGGGCTCTGCCAGGGCCACGGCCCATCGGCCAGGTCTACAAGAACCATGAGGCGGGTCCACGCTGCAGGAATTCTCACGGCAGGGCTGGGGGCGGGGGCGCGTTAGTAACAGCCAGGGGGTCTGCCTGCATCTTAGCAAACCACAGCAAAGCCCTGTCTGACCCCGGCGTTCCAGAAGCTGTCGGGGCCCTGCCTTTGCACCTGTGGCCTCTGGGGGTTCCCTGGTCCACCTTCGGCTGCCTGCTTCTGCATCTGTTTGCCTCAAGCGTGTTCCTCCTCCGGCCTCTGGGGTCTGCTCTGCTCCTGGGTCTGCCAGGTACATCAGCCTCCACCCAAGACTGGAATTCAAAGCCCGGCTCCCCTCACCCCTGGGGCGGGCGACCCGGGGGCTGGGCTGTACCCTGCTCCCCAGCGTTCGCCCCCTGCAGAATTCAGCTCCGGCTGCCCGCTCTGCCCCTGACTGACAACACAACTTTCTTTGCCTTTGTCCCTCTCCTGCCTCTAGTCTTACCTCCATTGCTGCTGGTCCCGGGATCGCCTCTCAAACCCCACCACCCGCAGGAGCATTCTGGTCTCAGGGTCAGCCTCTGTGGGCAAAACCCAAACGGAGACACTTGCATTACCTCAGATTTTCATAGCAACCCTCCAGGTGAGTTACTGGTCACAGCCCCACTTCAGGGAGGCAGAAACAGGCTTGGAGAGGTAAAGGTGCTTGCCGAAACTCAGGGGACTAAAATAAATAGCAGATCCAGAGCCAGGTCCAACGTCTGTGGATTTTAGAACTGGACCTGCTAGCCTCTCTACTATACTTTCTCCTACCTCAGTACGGAAACAATCACTCTTTGGAAAATTCAGCCATAAATGCCCGGGGGGCATTGACAGTACAGCTCAAGGGGGAGCAAGTACCACTGAAGGTTTTGGGGGTGCACAGGGTTTGAGATGGGGACAAGACAAGAGGAGTGCTCTTCGCCCTCCCTTGACTTCCCCAAACCGAGTTCTGTCTCCTGACTCCCGCCTGCCTGTGCCTTTTGGGGCTGGGAAGGAGAAAATGTGTGTAAGAAGCAAAAGAGGGGAGGCAGAAATAAAAGGATGGGGTTGGGGCAGGGAGAGAAAAAGAGCAAAGTAGGAGTATTCAGCCAGACTGGTTTGTGCTCTCTGGTCCCTAGTGTAGGAGGTCCCTAACGTCCTGCCAGCTCCAGGAAACGGGTGTGTTGGAGGTGACTTTGCACAGGAGGAAGGGGAGGCGAGGAGAGAGGACCTTCCTTGCTCTAGGTCCCAGAGCTGCGGGGTGCTGGGGTTTGTGCCCTCCCTCCCAGCCTTTGCCTCCAGAGACAAATCCTCTAAGGCAAAAGGGGATTTTTCTCAAAAGGAAAGTTGCATTTCAATGCAGAGTTCTGAAGCCCTCTGAGAAGGCTCCCTGTGGCCCCCTGATCAGGCATCTGTCTTGCTGACCGAGGTACAAATGCTCAAATGCTGTGACCGCCCAGGAAAGCAGGTCAGCAGGATTTTTAATGCTAAGCTTCCCAACTCTTAAGCCTGTTCTTTTCTTTCTCAAAGTGGGTCAGGAAGTCAAGAGGCGCAGGCAATCATACAAACCTCTCAAATCTGACATTCGGTTGTGGGCTTCCGTGAGGTTTTTCCTTAACCTCATGATGACCTCCTGCTGAGACAGGATTTCCTTCTGAGCGGTCAGTAGATCCCCTCTGAAACTCACAAAGACAGGCCAAGTCAGCTCACCTCAGTCCCCAGGATGTCCCCATTGCCTGCAAGGGGCCAGGGAGAAATGCAAAGTGATCCTCCTTCAGTGCGGGTCCGAGGGATACCAGTCCCAGCAAGGGGGAGAAGCATGCTCTTTAAAAATTCTCAAAGCAAAAATTCATTTTGATGCTATATACATACACATATATATATATATATATATATATATATATATATATGGAGATAGGACAGAAGATCCCAGCTGGGTTCAATCTGAGGCTGAGCTATGACAAGTACCAGCTTATTTCACAAGTGATTAAGCTAAGATGCAGCAATGGGACGTGACTTGCCCAGAGCCACACACCTGCAAGGGGTTGAGTTGGGAGATGAACACAGATCCACCCAGATCTTTCCATGATGCCATCCTGACCTGCTAGAGGATCGAGAAATTCAAATGACAGCAAGAAGACCCCAGACTCGACTCCTTTTCTTCAGGTTTTGATGACATGGCCAGAAGCGGGGGTGGGGAGGGGTGTCTCTGGCCTGGTGTGCACACACCCCTTGGGTACTCACATCAGGGTGTCACATACTTCATCTTTGACACTGCTCTCCATCGGAGGCACTGCTGGGGGGTCTCGCTGCATCACCTCCTCCTGGACTGAATCAGAGGGACCCATGAGCGTCATTACCGTCCACATGCAACTGATGCTCTCCTTCCCCTGGGCTTATAAACACACCTGCGTCTTTTCCAACTTAGCCACCCCCCTAACACCCTGCTGCCCTCTCCACCTAATGAGCCCCACCATGGGTTCTGTGGCACAGGCTGGGATCCCCCACGTACGAGCTCATGAAATCTTTCCAGCTACTCTCTGAGGCAGGGATCATGAACTACATTTACAGGGCAGGAAATGGGCACAGGAGGGACAGAACTTGCCGGTGGCCGGTCAGCGAGGCCGGTGAGGAGTGGAGCCCCAACCACTGGGCCACACCGCCTCCCTGTTCGGCCTTTCCTCCCAGACAAGTCGGGTCCTCTCCTCAAACTTACTCCTCAGCCCACCGCCTTCTGGTTTCCATCCTCACCCTCAGTCACACCTTTATTCATTCATCAGGTGCTTATGGAATGTCTGCTTTCTGGCAGATTCTGAGCTAAATGTGACTACTTTCTTGTCACCCTTCAGGTCCCAGCTCCCTCTGACCTCGACCTGGGTTGGGAAACTGAGTCCCGCCTCATACCTGGGCCATGGTGCCCTGTTCCTCCTGGGTCACCTCAGGGCCGTCATTTGATGAACTGCAGGGACCGTGCCTGGATTCCATATGGAATCCCCAATGCCTAGAATAAGCTTGGAACCTAACAGATGCTCAATGAAGAGCGTCGAGTGAATGAAAGCATGACGTGAGCCCCAACAGCTTGTCAGCTGGCTGGAGACCAGGACCATAGTTCTCAATCAGGGGTTAGTTTGCCCCCCCCCCCAGGGGACATCTGGCAATGTCCGCAGACGTTTCTGGTAGTCACCCTGGGGCGGGGGTGCTGCTGGCACTCAGGGTGCTGCGGCTGAGCAACCCTGGCCCGAGGCCTCAACTTCCAGAACTCTCCTCCAAGAGCTCGGCGTCTTTGCAATGCGTTGCATCGCCTTGGTCATTTAGGGCGAGTACGTGCTCACAACACTGAGTTCTTTTCTCAGCCCCTTTTGGATTTCTTTTTAAAGCTGTTTATGAAAGGCCATTAGACAAAATCGCAAACTCCTGAGGGCAGAGAGAAGGCTCTGAAAGGCCTGGTAGTCTGTGCATCTCCGCTGGCTCACTGGCTCGGCACAAAGGATGTCCCGTCCCATTGTTGTGACTTCTGCCTAACCTGGGCCTCGAGGGCCCCTAACTTTGTGTGTTACGGGAAGAAAATGGGGCCTCCAGGGAAAAAAGGAGCGTTCAAGCGAGGTGCAGCATTTTCTGGCCCATCATCAGCCTACTGAGACCCCCGGGATAATCAGAACCTGCCCTGAACGCTAAGATTTCCTTAGCTTCTCTTTGGACCGACCTGGGTCGTTGTCCTTTAAGGTTGCAATCTCTCCTTCTATTTTTTTATGATGCTCAGTCACTTTTTGGAGTCTTTCTTCGAGGCTCACGATCGTCTGGGAGTGCTGTTTGATTTGCTCCTTATATTCCCTGATTTCTGTTTCAAATCCGTGTTTCTGTGAGTCCTGTTCTTCCTGGAGGGCCTTCACTGTCCGCTGTTGCAGCTGTATCCGCTCCTCCATGATGAGCTGGGAAAACAGGGACGTCATTAGTGTGATCTTGGGAGCTGGGTGTGATGCCAAGGACGACAATAGCAATATGCCCCTTTTGCACCCACAGGCATGGAACTTGGACCCACCTCAGGGCCTTTGCACGTGCTGTTCCTTCTGCACGGTACTCTCCTCCCCCCAGCTCCTTGCATGGCTGACTCCTTCTCATATTTCAGGTCTCAACTCCAATGTCACCTCCTCAGAGAGGCCCTTCCTTGACTCCCTGTCTAAAGGAGCGGACTGAGACACTTTCTATTCCATTTTCTGCTTTCATTTTCTGTGATGTACTTATCACCATCTGAATGATTTTGTTTCTTTATTTCCCATTCCCACTAGAACGTAAGCTCCAGGAGAGCAGAAACTTACTTTTCCTAATTTACCAATGTATCCACAGTGCCAGTGCCTAGATCCCTGCCATAGCATCTAGACCTAGATGCTCAATAAGTATTTGCTGAATTAACAAATGAACAATTTTATAAGAAAAAGAGAATGAATTTGTATTTTTTTAAATTTATTTTGTATTTTTTAAAGTAGGCTCCACACCCAGCATGGAGCCCAACGTGGGGCTTGAACTCACGACCCTGAGATCAAGACCTGAGCTGAGATCAAGAGTCAGACGTTAACCAACTGAACCACCCAGGAGCCCCAAATTTCTATTTCTTAAAAGCAAAAAGTCCCAGTCATCACCAAGAGGTGAGCTGGACCCTTTCCCTCGGCCGCCCTGCCCTTCCTGAGGCTCTTCTCGGGGCTTCTCAATGCCTCTCATCCTTGCTCCCCTCCTGCTTCTCTGACCACTCCTTCCTCAGCTCTCCTGATGACATCAGACTCCTGCTCCTTATTCCCGGCTGACACTTTGGGCCGCAGCCCCCGATCCTGAAGCTCGCTCTCTCTCTCTCTCTCTCTCTCTCTCACACACACACACACACACACGAGTTTTAGCGATCATGCCTCCTCTAAATTTGCCTTGCCAAAGCCTGAGCTGGCCTCTCCAACTCCAGTCCCTCTGAAATTCACTTTGCAAACTTTGGCCAGATGAGTCCTCATTACCTCCTTGCCCACAGACCTGTTGGTTGAATGTATGAATGACGAATGAGTGCAATATTGAGCCCTGATGGTGGAGGGCCTTGAATGCCGGGCTAAATTTTATTTTATTTTATTTTTAAAAGATTTTACTTATTTATTTGAGAGAGAGAATGAGATAGAGAGAGAGAGCATGAGAGGGGGGAGGGTCCGAGGGAGAAGCAGACTCACTGCTGAGCAGGGAGCCCGATGCGGGACTCGATCCCGGGACTCCAGGATCACGACCTGAGCCGAAGGCAGTCGCTTAACCAACTGAGCCACCCAGGTGCCCCTGAGCTAAATTTTAAAACATTATCTTAAAGTCTGTGGAATAGTCATTGATTACTAAGGTCTGGGGCTGCTCAGTCCTTCAGCCTGATTCTGTGAGGACCCTGTATTACAACATCTTAGAACTCCTGGAGAGAGGGCATTGTAGCCTCAGTTCACTTTTCATTCGAGACCAGCGCTTCTCAATAGAGGGTGATTTTGCCCCCCAAAGGACATTTGGCGAAGTCTGAAGACACTGTGGGCTGACATGTCAAGGGAGACTGCTACTGGTGTCTAGCAGGTGAGACCCGGGGTGATGTTAAGCATCCCGTGATGCAAAGGACGGCTGTGCACAAGAAAGGGTTAACGAGCCTGGGGCAGCAGCAGCCCCCAGGCTGAGAGCCCCTGGTCTAAATCATGAGTTCTTCCAGCGCTGTGATCCTTCATCGAGGGAAAGATTCTCCCGTCCCCGGAAGGCACCAACTCACCATTTTTGTCTTGGCGGTTTCCAGTTCAGCTAACGTTTCATTTAATTTCATGGTGAGGCTCTCTGCTCTTAGGCTCTCGGCTGTCTTGGTTTTCTGAGTCTCTTCTACCATGGCCAGTGCGTCCTTTAATTTATTATTTAAAACATCTTCTTTTTGCACTTTTAGGTCTATTTCCTGGACAAATAGCAAACATCAAATTAACAGAAATTCAGGAATGAATATTTACCCTAGCCGCCCCCTGGCCCAGCCCCCCATTTTCAGAAAGGAGGTGAACTCTATTCTGTTATTGTCCCTTTTTCAGCCCAAAGTCCATGCTTTCTCTGGAAGGTTCCAATTACTACAGAGCTTGCTTGTCTCTCCTGCTGAGACTGTCTCCTTGTGATTTCTGGTCTCTGAGCTCAGTTCTGTCACCTGGAGCGCACTGAGCAAGTTTTATTTCTCTTTTATGAGATAGCCCTTTAAATATTTGAGGAGGGCTGTCATGTCTCTCTCTAAATCTATTTTCCAGGATAAATGTACTGAGCTCCTTCCCCCCTTTGCCACAGGATCTGCCTTCAGCACCCTCCTCCGCATCCCTCCCTGGCTTCGGAGGGATGGCCTCCCTTCTTCCCTCTGGGCTCCGGCAAGGTGGACTCCCCTCGTCACGTCCGTGCACACCTCGTCCCTCCTCCTGGATCCACTCTTCCAGCCCTGCACTCCGAAAATTCTACTCTCCTCCTGGAGCCCCTCCTCAGACCATGCGGAATGTAAGCTTTGTGACTGGTCCTGGGTGGGGGCTTCACGAACTTTATTCACTTGACTTTATTTTTTAAAAAGAGATTATTTATTTGAGCAAGAGAGAGAGAGAGAGAGAGAGAGAGAATGAGAGAATGAGTGGGGTGGGGGAGGGGCAGAGGGAGAAGCAGGCTCCCCGCTCGATCCCAGGACCCTGGGATCATGACTTGTGCTGAGGGCAGTTGCTTAACTGTCTGAGACACCCCGGCGCCCCTACTTGACTTTATTTTTGAAGAGTGGTTTTGGGCTCACAGCAAAATTGAGAGGAAAATACAGAGCTCTCTTATATGCTCTCTCCCCTCCACTGTGCGGGATCAGCAACATCCTGCACCAGAGGGTACCTTTGTTCCAACTGATAAACCTGCGCTGACATATCACAGTCACCAAAAGTCCGTAGTTTATGCTATAGGGTTCACTCAGTGCTGTACACTCTACGGGTTTGAACAAATGTATAATGACACGTATCCACCATTATAGTATAGTACAGAGTAATTTCACTGCCCTGAAAATCCCTTGTGCTCCATCTGGTCATCCCTCCCCTCCACCAACCCCTGGTCTTCGGTCTCCATAGTTCTGCCTTTTCCAGAATGTCACAGACTTGGAATCATACTGTAGGCGGGCTTTTCACAAACATTATTTCATCCAATGTAAAATAGTAGTCAATGAGATGTAGTGCTGGCAGGCTCTGTTGCTGGCAGTGTAAACTGGTAGGACCTTTTATTTGGGAACATGTATCAAGAGGCTGAACATGTTTACACCCTGTGACCCAGCGATTCCACTTTTGGGAATCTATCCTAAGGACATAACTGCACACATTCACGAGGACTGACATGCAGGGCTGTTCAGCCAAGCGTTTTTTTTTACTTGAGTGGAGAGTGAGAAATAGTCCCAGGGCCCAACCACAGGGGACAGGTCAATAAATTGGGGTCCATCCAACACAGTGCAAACCCTGGTCAGCTGTCCATGGCAGGTCGTGGAAGAATGTTTCATGCCATAGAGACATTTTGGTAATGTGTTCAGTTAAAATACAGCGGCCAGGTCAGTGTCCACAGAGTAACAGGGTAAATCACTTTGTAACAAATGGATGTTTGCGATGTCTGTAATAAGGATCAACGTGTAGATGGTCTGGGAGGAAGCCCATCAAAATGTCACTAGTGGTAACTCTGCTCAGTGGAAATCATGGGCAGTTTTTTTATCTTCTTCCGAATGATTTTCTGTAAATAGTTGCTCCTTTTATAATCGGGAAGGGAAACGGACTTAAAAACAACAAGAAAAATCCATTTTCGTCATGCGATTCCTGTAAGCCTCACCTGGGAGCCACTTCGTTCTCTGCGTATCACCACTGAACTCCATCTGATTCTATTTCGGGGCCTTCACATCACCGTGACTGTTGAGAAATTCCAGGGCAGTGCAGACCGCGTGCAGCCCTGGCCAGAGAAGGTGCTCACCAGAGATGCTGGCAGGCATCCCCTGAAGCCGCCTATCACCTGCAGCGAAACACTCCAGCTGTCCCGGAGAATCCACAGCAAACTGATGGTTTCTCTGATGGGCCGCGAAGCTGCCCAAGGGCAGAACGCACTGCCAGGCATCTTTGCTCCTTGCCAAGCGCTCAGCCTCTTTGACTCAAGGACAGGACAATAAAGTTGACTGTGCCCCCGGGTCTGGATTTATTTTTCTTCTCCCCGCTCTCCTTCTTTCTCTTGTGCCCATTGCTCTTCTGTGTATACGAGTAAAACAGCATGTGAATAAGCAACTCTATGTCTGGGTAGTTCTTTGACCTTGTCCTTGCTTGGTATTTATTTCCTGGTACATGGGGACTTCCTGGGGAGGGGTCCTGTTTCTCCTTGTCTGGTGTGATGCCCCCGGTCTGCCTGGAGGGCTGTCACAAGACCTAGCCCTCTGATGTCACTGTTGTTTTCCCTGAGGCTGTTGAGGGTGTTGGATGCACAGCAGAGTCCTCTATCTGATGATCCTTAGGACAGATTCTCTCTGGGTTGAGTACCGAGAATGGCTCAATATCCACGAGCCATGGGTTCACTTTGATCCAGAGAATTGTGCAGCCCCCTGAGCCTTCCCTTTTGCTGTAACTGTTAGAGTAAAAACTGACCGTTTGTTGATTTCACTGATACACGTTTTTTTTTCATTTCTTTGTGGGGTTTTTTTTTTTTTTTTTTGGCATTAGTCTCATCCCTGATCGTTTGATGTCCTCACTAATCTACTTTAAAAATGTTAATATCTCCTTTCCTCCTGCCCTGAACTGAAGTGTTTTATGGAAGATCCATGGTGAATCGTTTGGGGAAACAAGGCTGTGTGTGAACAGATTGTGCCCCTGGGGCTCTGTGGGCCCGCAGCATCTGCCCGCCCTCCCTCAGTGCACCAGCCTCGGCTGACAAGCCCTGCATCATTTCCCTCGACTCTGTTCTGCCTTCTCTGGGCATGCTCCAGTTGGTTATGGTCCCTCTTAGGAAGCCGTGCCTGGGACCGATACGTCACGCAGATGTGGTTTACTGATGCCCATCTCTCTGGGGCAGCGGTGTTTCAAATGCACCAGCACCACATAGGGCTGCTTGTTAAAGATGCAGATTGCTAAGTCCACCCCCTAGATGGTGAATCCGAACCTCTGGGGGCAAGGGTCAGGAAATGGGGATTTAAACACCACCCCCCCAACCCCGCCTCAAGTGATTCTATGCATGCTCATGTTTGGGAATCTTGCCTTAAAGAAAATGATCTAAGATTGATGTGAATAGACGCAAAGACCTTTTTCGTCCCATCTGGTCTTCAAAGTCCTCTGAAATTGTGTTTACCTGCATTGAAATTTAACCCCCTATTGTCAGGGTGTGTGTTGAATCCCTTGCCTTGACTTTTTCGATATCAGCCATTGTGTGTGTGTGTCCCTTGTACTGTTGGGACACAGGAGGAGTGAATTCTGTCCTACAGAGTGGAGGTGCCTAAGACAGGGTCCCATCAACAACCTGTCTGCTCCTCCCAGGAACAGTTGTCAGTGCGGTTTGACTGGGCAGGTCGTGGTACCCACGGGGACAAGTCCGGCAGAGATGCTTCTGTCCAGGGGATGGAAATTCAGGCATCCCTCCTGTGACCCCCGGCAGCTGAGGCCACACACTGTTCAAGGATAGTAGGGAGAGGAGGGAGACAGTGCGGGGTTTGGTTCTGCCCCTCCACATCCCAGCTATGAGCTCATAATAATAATAATAATAATAATAATAAAGTAAAAGGAGCCGACACACAGAGCATTCACTGAGTGCCAGACACTTTCCTCTGTGTTTTATGAACTTGTGAGTAATCAAGCCTCACCACTCGATGGGGCTGATCTATGGGCATTATCTGGACTTCATAAGTAGGGAAACGTAGGCACAGGGATGGTAAGACACTTGCCTCAGTTTGCGTGGGCAGAAAGCGGCAGAGGTGGGATTCGAACCCAGACCACCTGCCTCCAGAGCCCTGCTCTTAACTGTGCTGGGCGTCTCCCTGTCTGCTCCTCTCTGAGACTCTTACCTCTTTCTGCTTGGTTATGTGGTTCTCCAGATCTTGCACCTTCTTCTTTTCCTTCTCTATGGCCTCTTTTGCTTTGTGTTTCTCGTAGGCGAGGCTGCTCTCTGAAATCTGGAAGTCAGGGACAACTGGTTTGAGGGAGTGTACGCGAGGAAGGAAGGGAAGGGGCACCATGAGGGAAGCCAGGATTAGTAATCGCCCAGACCAGTGAGTCAGGGCTTGGGAGTAAGGGCTCAGGGAACAGAATGCTCAAGCGAGAGAGGGGTGGGAGTCTTGGCATGCCCACCACGGCAGCGAGAACCTGAAGGTCATGTCCGGTTAGTTACTGCATAAAAGAGAAGGTTATTCATCGTTCAGGATTTTGGGGATGTGTTCAGGAAGTGACATGCTGGTGAGTGTTCAGGTCAAGGCGTTTGGCACTGAGCCACTAATTGAACTGGAATGTGGGCCCTCTTTTGGGCAGTACCTGGCTTCCTGGGAGGCGGGGCAGGAGAGGCAAAGTGGAGGGGAGACACCTCCTGTCCCAGCAGACCTGACACACCTGTGGCTTCAGGCTCTCTCCAGCCTTCAAAGGCTTGGGTCCAAAATTTGATGTTCAGGACAGTTTGGAACTGAGAACATGTAGCCCGCGGGTCCGGTGATGTGCAGGTGGGGAGTGAGGACCAGCCTCACCTACACAAGCCCCAGGAGGTACACGGTGCAGGGGGTTTGGAAAACTCACTTTGCAGCTTGGAATCCTTGCGGTGATGCTCCCATACAAACACAAAGTTCACAGAAGAATATTTTAAAAAATATATGCATGTATGCATAGACAAGGGCCTGAAGAGATGTGTACTGAAATATAAATACCGGTTATTTTGGGGGACTGGGATTAGGGCAATTTACATTTCCTCTTTTCGCTGGTCTGTATCTTCTATGTTTTCTTGCGTGAACATACATTATTTGGCAAAAAGAAAAATGACTGCAAATTGTCCTAGGGAATACGGTGCTGGGGGGTAGCACGAGGCTTTGGGGCTGTGTGGCCCTGGAGAAAAGGTCTTTCCAACAGTCCTGCCATCGGAGCATGTGTCTTCAGTCGCCATCCCGCCTGCCCTGCTCTGCACAGTCCTCCAGCCCCACCTGGGCTCTGACTCACCTCCCTGCACGAGCTTGGCATTTGCCTGCTGCCAAGTCTGCTTAAGATTGCCCCGCCCCCACCCTGCCAGTTGGAAGAGGCTGCCGGCCCCCTTCTGCATGCCCCATGGGATTCTGCGCCACTTGGCGTGTCACAGTTGAAAATAATGATGATACTGACTCCTCTTGAAATGCTTGCCACACGAGCGCTGGGCACCAGGCACTGAGCGCATCCGTGCATCTGACTGGCAAACCCCCAGAACGTCTGCCCAGTGAGCTGCATTCTGCAGGTGAGGTCATGGTGGCTGTCACCGAGGCAGTAAGGGGATGGATAATGTACAGAGGTCACGCCACCAGGGAGTGGCGGTGCACGCTTGGACACCAGTGCCCTGCCCTAATCATACGGCCACTTGGCTTCCGGATCTTGACTTACGTGTCGTCCTGATTAAAACCCCACCCTCCCCAGAGGCAGAGACCTGCTTCTACGCCCATACTTAGTCGGGCACAGAGTCCACCGCACCACGGCGGGAGCCAGTGCCTCAAGACCTCACTCCTGGCGCATCTGTATAAGGGACACTCTAGGCACAGCTGCTAAGTTTGACCTCACTCCCTGCACGGGCTGACACAGTCCCACTGCCAAGGTCTTTGCTGGACTGTCCGCCTCCCCACCTCATTAGACCCACACCATCCTCCCGACCCCACCTGGACGCTGACCTCAGCTGGGCAGGTACTTCATAATGAATACACTGACTCCTCACGACAAACGTCTAGGGTGGTTCTGCCACTACACGCACGTTACGGATGGGGGCACAGGGATGGCAAGACACTTGCCCAGGGTCAAACAGCATGTTGGGGCAGCGCTGGGATTTGAACCAGAATTGGCACTTTTTGCCCACCAAGCTTTCCTGCTTTCCTGCCTTTGCGTCCCCCTCCGGCTTTCTTCCCCGGACCCCTCATCTGGCTTTCATCTTGTTCCAGCCTTGTTTCCTTCCTCACACCGCTGCCCCCGTCCCTCCAGCTGAGGGAGGCCCCTGTCCTCTGCAGCTGGGCCACTTTACCCAGTGGCATTTTCTCCCCCCCAGATGTTCCCTTCATGTTCCTTCTCCCCTCCCGGTCTCACTCAAGTGTCACCTCCTCAGAGAGGCCCTCCCTGCCTGTGGCCACTCTCCAGCCCACCCCTTTGATTTCCCCACAGGCTTGTGGCCCTGGAGCTCCCGTGTGTGCCCCTGGTTATGTGGTGTCTGTCCCTCAGCCTCGAGTGGAAGCTCTGGGAGGACTGCACTGTGGTGTTGCCAATGCCCAACAGCGCCTGGCCCATGCTAGGTGCTCGGGAAGCATTTGTGGGTGGATGAATGAAACAGAATCGAACAATTCATGGAGTCAGTACTCTGTTTCTGGGAGTTCCCTGAGGGCCAGCCCATGTCTATGCCCCCTGCGGCCTTGGAGCCCAGCTCACGGAGCTGCCACTACAGGTCACTGAGTCCTCTCCCTGGCCTCCAGCTCCTGAGAGCCCTTCTTTGACTTCTCGCGGGGAGGGGGGGTGGTTGGGGTGTTTGGGTTAACCTGAGTGACATCCCTCCTCTCAGCCTTAGGTCTGCCTTCCATGAGTACTCCAGGCCGGTGCGGCTGGTGGGCCCAGTCCCCAGGCTGGTGGAGGTGGCTAGAGGTGGCCGTCTCCAGCGCTCCCCAGGCATGGCGCTCGGGCCTGCCCAAACCACTGTCACCCTCTCCCTGAGGGTGCACTTCTCATCCACTCCGGATCTCTGGCACTTACTCGTGGGACTGCTATGTGAGCTTGTCATGTACTGGTCTGTGCCATCTTACTCCACGACTCTTTGCGTCTCTATAAAAGGTCTATGAAACCAGGAGACCAGAGCTGGGAGCGAGTGTCTTTCTACAGCGCCTGTGCTGGGTTGTGTCATAAGTACCTTTCCGTTAGGAGGAGGGAGGTGCTGGCTGAGGGACTGACCCAGACCCCAACCCAAGGGTTCTCTCCTGGAGCGCATCTCTCTGCCTTCGGTGGCTGGGCGGGGGATGCTTATGTAGAGGGCCATCTATGTGCAAGGTGCAGGTCTAAGTCCTCTGCCTATTTACTCATTTAATCCTGCCAGGCAGGGGCTGTTACCCTGCCTATTTTAACAGAGAAGGCAACTGAGGCCCCGGAGGTTAAGTGACCTGCCCTAGGTCATACAACTAGGGCGTTGTACTCGACATTGGCCACTTCCCACGGAAGTGTCGCCCAGCACCTGCCCACTGGCCTGCCATATTCTCCACTGGGGCGTAGAACCATGGCCTCCTGTCTGGCCTCGGAGCTCCTTCCACAGGGGTTTTGGCTGCTATGGCCCATTTATCTCTCTGCTCCTCGTACCTCCTTCTGTTGGGTCAAGTGGTTCTACAGATCTTGAACTCTTCTCCTTTCTGTCTCTAAAGCTTCCTTTGCTTTCCTTTTCTCATGGGCCATGCTGCTCTCCAAAACCTGAAAATCAACGACCAGTCTTTTCGGTTGCCTGCGCATTCCGGGGGGGAAACTGCTCATTCTGGCCATACTACTAATAGTGGTAGCAGCTCCCACGCTGGGGGGTGGTGAGTATCCCTGACGGGGCCCACGGCCAACACATCACACACAAGTGAACCCTATCACGGTGACCCTAGCAGACGAGTTAGTGGCCCCAGTTTGTAGATGAGGAAGCCGAGGAACAGAAAGTTGTGGAAGGCCCAGGGGTCATGCAGTTTGTTGTAGGTGAGGTCAGGATTTGAGCCCTGTGCGGAGGACGACCCATGGCCTGCATCCGGAGGCCCTTGGCAGGGAGCATGTGAACAGAGGGAGCCGGGTCTGTCTTTTCTTGGAGCCCGAGCTCTTATCACTGCGCCAGGCAGTCGCTCTGATAAGGAGAAGAATCTCATTAATAATGGATATCCTATTATTAAAATAAATCTCCTAAAGAGAACCAGGTTTCAAGATGTGGACAGTATATTAAACTCATGAGCCGCAACATACCAATTTCTAGAAGGGGTGGGGGTGGACCTCACACGTGGAGCTCGGAGTGGGCGTATGGGGAAAAGTGTGGTCTGGTGCTCGTGCTCAAGGAATTTTATTTAGGAAGTAAATGCCTAACGCCAATAGCAAAGGATAGAAATTGCCCCCAAGGCCCCTGTTTCTAGTCCCTGCAAGAAAGGGCACGCGAGCTTTCAAATGGGTTGAGTTCTAAGCACCAGCTTGACAGTAAGATGTCTGGAACTTGGAACATGGTTTCCATTATAACCCGTGGTTAGGGTCCCAGATTAGCCTGCCCAGATGAGCCTGGCTGAAATACTATCTATTTTGTAGTGAAAAGTCATTAAAAAAAAAATCCCAATAGCAGCCTTAAAGAAAGCAGAAGAACAGTAGCATCATGGGAGTTGGCACACTGCTTTTGAACATTCGAGGGGGGGTCGGGGTTTCCTGTAATTTGTGGAAGAGACTCCCGAGCACTTTCCAGTGACTTAGGGTCAGCTCCGCTGCATCTGATCTCGCATCTACACTCACGACTTTGCTCTCGACAGCTCCTTTGCTGCTGAGAGGGGCACTAAGGGGAAGATTGTCCTTGCACGCCTCGACACACACGGGCCCTGGCCCCCTCCGCTGCTCTGCTCCCAAGTTCCCAGGCAGGTAATGGGAGTTCACCTCTAACGTTACCTCAAAACTCGCATTACAACCTAGCATTCTGTTGCCCTTAAAGATTCATCTGATAACGTGGTAGAAAGCCTAATAAAAAGAAAAATCAAATAACCGTTTGAGGTTGATTAAAGTCTGTGCCTGGGACTTTTTATCTCAGATTTCCCCGTCAAGAAACCACAGAGAGGTTCTGTTGGGAGAGGCTTGGGGTGACCGGGCCACAGCTCCTCCCTGCAGTAAGGCTGACCCCATCACACCTTCTTCCTTAAATCTCTCTCCCGAAGTCCCCCATGACCTCGACATCTCTAAATTCAAGGGCCTGCCCCGGGCCCTCGAGCTGAGCTGTTGACCTCTCGGTGGCATTTGGCCCCCGTGAACCCTTGGGAGACTGTTCCTTGTCAGCACCCCTGGAGAGATAACTCAGGGCCAGGCCTCAGTGACACTGTTTACCCAGGCCGCCGAGCACAGCCGTACAGGTGACCCCAGGTGACACCCAGCACATAAACATCTTCCCTCCTTGGATCAGGTGGGACCACACGGGCTCTGCCCGGCCCGCCTCCTTGTCTTTCCAGCAGCGGTGGGTGGGCGAGGACTTCCCTCTGGGCAGTGAGGATGGGGAGGGGGTCGATAGGGAGAAAAGGGCTTGTGACAATTCTAACAGCTACACTGACCGAGCAGCAATTCTGGGTCAAATGCTTCACTGCACATGACTGCTGACCCTTGCAGCCACCCCAAAAGGAGGAGGGTCCTGAGCGAGCTGCTGAGGCCTGTAGGTCGTGCAGCCAGGATTTGCACTTGCTTCTCACGTGGTTGCAAGGCCTGCACTCTTCACCCCTCTGTGCTGCCTCGGGGTGCACAGAGCTCATGAGAGCAGTATGTGAAAAAGACCCTGAGGTCCAAGGGTGACCACAAGGCAAGCTTGCGCCGACGATGTCATAGAGCGCTCCCCAAAGTTGGTTTGGGAGCGTCAGTACAAGTGCAAAATCTTCAACAGGGGAGCAGAGTCCTGCCCTGGGCCACCATGGCTGGAGAACCGGGGCCGATTCTGGCCGCCGCACTTCAGGAAGAAACAGAGCACGGGTTGCAAACTCAGATGTCAGCAGGGGCCAGACAGATGCCAGCAAGGAAGTGGGCTGCGTTGAACGCAACAGGGAATGTTGGGGACGGTGGGAAATCCCTGCTGCTTGGTTGAGCTCCCATCCACTTCTGCCAAGTGGAAATGGGGCCAGATTTTCTGACTTTTCAGGAGAGGATGGAAATCTGGATTTTTAAGTAAATGTTATGAATTCAAAATAAAATACTTGGGGGCCAAACGTAACATGTCCCCAGGCCCCTTTCAGCCAGTGAGCTGCCAGTCTGTGCCTTCTGGAGAACAGAGCAGGCCAGAGGAGGGGACCAAGGCCAGGCTCCAGGAGAAAGAAGGGCATTCGGGTCTGGGAGGAGCAGATGTCTCATTTTTAAGCCTCTAAAAGGTTATTATGTGGATGAGGAGGTGGACAGGTCTTGCAGGGGCCCAGGAGGCCGGTGGGGGATTGATGCTCTTCTGGGAGAAAGAGTTTTCTTGTGCTCAACCTAAAGGAAGAACTTTCTGCCAGGCCAAGGCATCACCACTGGGTTGGACTACCCTGGTCTGTACAAAATTCCTTGATGGTAGAGCTGAAGGCTGGGTGATTTTAGGATGTTGTTGGGAGGACTGACACAACCCTGAAGTCCCAGGACCCTGTACCTCCTCCCCGTCTGTGCTTTGGGACACAATCTCCGTGCAGAAGATGCTGTGTCACCAGCCCCAACTTGTCTCTCAAGTTCTAGCTACGTCTGCAGGTTTACACTTTTTCCCACTAGCTGTCAAAGTTACGACTCCAGGGCTCTCTCCTTGAGCCCCACTGCTTCCCAGAGTAGCCGAACCCTCCCAAGGACAGCTCACTTCCACATGGCCCGCGAGCCCGATTTGGGCTCGAGCCGACTATCTCCCCCAGCTGCATACCTCCTTCTGGTGGGTTAAGCGATTCTCCAGCTCTTGGACTCTGGTCTGTTCTTCTTCTAATGCTTCCTTCACTCTGTTTTTCTCTTGAGTAATGCTTTCCTCCCAGACCTGCAATCCAATGGCCACTGTTTAATAGACATAGTTGCCATGGCAGGAACCTGGACTCTGTGCCAGGAGCTACACTGGTAGCCCTTCGCTGCTCACCACAACCCCACGGGGGAGACTGGGCAGCCAGAAGCAAGGGATCCGGAGCGGGCAGGCTCAGTTCAGAGCCCCAGGTTGGTCCTCCCTGGGTACGTGACCTTGATTTGTGCTCAGGCTGACTCTGTCTCCCCCAGCAGCATACCTTCTTCTGGCGGGCGAAGCGATTCTCCAGCTCTTGGATTCTCTTCTGTTCTTCTTCTAATGCTTCTTTTGCTCTGTTTTTCTCTTGAGTAATGCTTTCCTCCAAAGCCTGAAAGTCAATGACTATTGTTTAATAGACAAAGTTACCATGACAGGAATCTGGACTCTGTGCCAGGCACTACACAGGCTAGCTCTTTACTCCTACAACAACCCCATGGGGGAGACTGTGGGTAGCGAGGAGCAAGGGATCCAGAGCGGGCAGGCCCAGATCAGAGCCCCAGGTTGGGCCTTTCCAGGTGCATGACCCTAGGAAGGTGAGAAGTGATAGAAGCCTCAGTCTCCCTATCTGTACAATGGGGACGAGAAAAGTGCTTCCTGCATTGGGTGAATGTGAGGGGCAGGTGAGAGGCTGAACACAGACCACTTGGCACGTGATCACCGTTCCTTAAGAAGGGTCAGTCATTTCTTCTGTGATCTCTATTTTGCAGAGGAGGAAACAGACTCAGAGGGACTAAGGAATCTGCCAAATCTGCTAGCAAATCACATGAGCAGGGATTCGAGTCCTGGTCCATTTGACTCGAGAGCCTGTTTTCTAAGCCAGAGTTTGGCTAACCATGGCCTATCAGCCAAATCTGGCCTGCTGTCTGCATTTTGTAACTCAAGTTTTATTGGAACACTTCCTTGCTCACTGTTTGTAGATTGCCTATGACTGCCTTTGCACCAAACAGCAGAGCTGAGCAGTCACGACAGAGCAGCGTGGCCCGCGAAACTGAAGATAAATACTCTCTGGCTCTTTATGGAAAAAGTTTGCTGACCCCGATCTAAACCATGAGTGTGTGCACAAGTTAAGTGCATGTTTTTAATAGTTCATAATAAAAAAGGATTAGCTTGATAAAGCAATCTAGAAATTCTTACTATTCAAACAGTCCTCAAATGAGTCAGGATTCATGAGAAGGAGTTTAATTAATGAATTTTGACACATGTATTTTTAGAAAGGGTGGGGGTGATGGTGTCTTATGGTGTAAGGAAGGTTCATTTAAAATTGGGACCCCCGCAGGGCTCCTGGGTGGCTCAGTCAGTTAAACGTCTGCCTTCGGCTCAGGTCATGAACTCAGGGTCCTGGGATCAAGCCCCGAGTCAGGCTCCATGCTCAGCGGGGAGTCTGCTTCTCTCTCTCTCTCTCTCTTTCTCTCTCTCTGTCCCTCTGCCCCTCCCCCGGTTTGTGCTCTATCTCTTTCTCAAATAAATAAATAAAATCTTTACAAAAATAAAAATAAAATTGGGACCCGTGTTGTTAAGTCTCGGACAGTACTTTCAGCTGAGTCCCTCAGGTTAAGTTGATCTACCAAGTGTCTGGGGAGTGATGACCCTCAATGGGATAATAATGACCATGGGAGCAGGGTATTGTCTGGGTGGGTACCTGATAGTGCTTTCCTCTCCTCGTGGGGTGGTGTGCACTAAGGTTCATTCTGTTTAAAGGGGAATTGCAAGGCTGGCTTCAGGATCCTGTCTGCATCAGGATCGAGGTTATAAATGGGCATCTGGGAGGTCCAGGCTGGTGCCCAAGTTGGCATTGAACACGGTGGGGCTGAAATGCTGCATACCCACAGTGGAAAAAGTCAACCCCAAATTAAAAGTAAAATAAGACATTTGGAAAGGGAGAGGGTAGTCAGGGAGGAGCAAGGAAGCAGGTGGAGAGCTTTGTGAGGACTTTGAAGATTTCCAGTTCTTTCTGGTTTTGTTTTCCTCTCTTGAATGACACTGGCTTTTTCCACGTCAAATTGACCTTCAAAATGGGCTCACCCTGATGGAAGGCTATCGTTAATACTGCCTTCAGGGGACCACATGCAATTTTTAGTGCTCCCTTTTTAGTCTTTTCCTTCATAAAAAGCAGAAAGGGGCAAACAGAAGAAGAGGTAGAAGGAGGAGAGAGATTTCTTCAGATAACTGGGCATGACTCAGGGGCTGAACGAGGCAGAGAGTTCTGCAGAGCTGGTGCGTGTGACAGGGAGGGGGGGTCCAAGCCAGAAGTTACGCAGCTGCGACTGAGGAAAGGTGGGGAGGGTGTCAGGTGCAGCCCTCCTCAGGGGAGGAGGGGGGTCCGGCAGATCTGGGGCTGTGGTCTCCAGATGGGCGGGAGCCGGGACAGCATGCCGTGGTTCTCAACCATGGCTGCATATTGGAACCAGCCAGGAGCACTTAGAGTCCCAGCCACACCCTCACTGCTATTAGAGCTGAACCTGGGGATGGGGGTGGGAGGAGAGGGGTAAGGCATTATTAGGACATTTTAATCTCCTAAGTGACAAAAGCGCAGCCTAAGTCATGAGCCACGGATCTAGGGTGGTGGCAATGAAGTAGTTAAAAATTCATGGCAGGGGGCGCCTGGGTGGCTCAGTTGGTTAAGCAACTGCCTTCGGCTCAGGGCATGATCCTGGAGTCCCGGGATCGAGTCCCACATCGGGCTCCCCGCTCAGCAGGGAGTCTGCTTCTCCCTCTGCCCCTCCCCCCTCTCATGTGCTCTCTCTCTCTCTCTCTCTCATTCTCTCTCTCAAATAAATAAATAAAATCTTTAAAAAAAAAATTCATGGCAGTCCCTGAATATCAAAAAGGGCCGACTCTTCGACAAAGATGAGAATTGGTTCATTAAATGCTGTTTCCTGGCCTTCTCCAGAGATTCTGATGTAGTGGGTCTGGGCTGGGGCCTGAGAATCTGTATTTTTAACGAGTGTCCAGGTGGTGCTTATCAGGTAACTTTGGGAAAATCTTCCTCCAAGACTTGCTGCTGAAAATGTGGTCTGCAGACCTGTGCTCTCAGCACCAGCTGGGAGCTGGTTGGAAATGCAGAATGCCAGTTTCTGCCCCAGGCCTTCCAGAGTCAGAATCTGCATTTTAACAGCCTCCCCAGGTGCTTCCTGGGCACCTCTAAGTTTGAGAGGTGCTGCTGCAAAGTATCTTGGAACTGGCTTGGTTTTTAGAAAAGCAAGTACCAATCTTGGCTATTTGTTTCCTATGATATGTATCAAGAGAGAGCAGAAGATGAAAATAATGTGAAGTTGGTCTTGCGTGCACTTAGAGACAGTCTGTCAGTTACAAACCAGGACCGGCGGCAATGACTCGAACTTGGTAAATTGACTGTGGTATCTGAGCTAATAAGGTACCATTTCTGGGAATTTCAATAAGTTTGCTGTTTCAAGTTGAGTTTTAGAATTCAAGCTTCATGTTAATTCCTCCAACATTACTCACCTATTTAATTCATTTACTTCCATAGCATAAAACAAGGAGTTGCTGAGATTTCTTCTCCCAAGTACATGCCTTCGGAAAAGGCCATTCTATCAGTTTCCAGGAGTAAAGAAAATGACAGGGACCGCCTTACCGCCTTCTCTTCCATGAGCCCCTTGATTCTGGCTTTCAGCCTCTCCTCTTGCTGCAGCCTGTCCTCATTCAGCTTCTCCTTCTCTGCCAGATGCTCCCGCAGCTTCTCTTGCATGAAAGACTGCTGAGTTTCCTGAGAACTGTGGATCTTGATCTGAAACGAGAGGAAAGGAAACTGAAGCTGATGAGGGGGAAACAGGACTAAGTAAAGGAGTCATGTCAACATTTTTCTTTTACAAGTTCTTTACCTTTGGGGGTACAAAGGTTTACACAAAACTTTCTTAAAAACACAGAAAAACTATGCTTAGCCTAGTTTCTGGTAGTGAACCAGTAGAGTACAGCAGGTAAGAACTCAGACTCTCGGTTTAGAAAGAATCTCAGCTCTACTTCTCTCTGAATGAAAATGCTTCTTCATTTAGAAAATAAGGATAATAATGGTATCTGCCTCTTAGAGTAAGGACTGAGTGAGAGCGTGATGGAAAGCTTTTAGCACAGTGCTTAGCACAGAGTAGGTGCTCAGTTAACGGCAGCTAGAATTATTAGTTATTATTTGCTGAGTGGAAGAGAAAAAGCAGTGAGCTAGGGTCAGAAGGTCTGAGCTTTTGTCTTGATTCTTCCATCAACTAGCTGTGTGCCATCGAAATAATCACCTAGCCTCTGAGGCTCGATATTCATATCCGTAAAATAAGAAGAATGGACTAGATCAGGGGTTGACAAAGTGCCGTCCACAGGCCAAATCTGGCTCACTGCCAATCTTTATAAATAAAGTTTTATTGGAACACAGCCACGCCCATCATGCTCATTTATTTGCATATTGTCCTTGGCTGCTTTTATTCTACAGCAGCAGTTGAGTAGGTGTGACAGACGCTGTATAGCCTGCGAGCCTAAAATATTGGCCATCTGGCCCTTCGCTTTAGGAAAAGTCTGTCGACCGCTGGACGAGATGGTCTGTGGGGTGGATCATGATGGTGGTCCCAATTCTTCACCCTCTCTCCACCATGTCTTTGGCCATGTACCTTGCAGGGACCACCCATATGCTGCTTTGACACTGAAACTCAGCCATGTGACGTACTTTGGCTAATGGGATGTTAACACAGCAGAGAATTGAAAAGCATTCCATGACTGGGCTGCTTTTTCTCCTGTACCTCCTCATCACCATGGGAACATGCCCAGGCTAGCCTGTTGGAGGATGAGAGACAGGTGGAGCAGAGTATAGCTCCTCCAGCTGAGGCCAGCCTAGACCAATCAAGGGCCAGCCAACAGCCAGACACTTGGGCAAGCCTGTCCAGGACTGGTGTACCCACCTAGTGGCTGACCCCAGACATGTGAGCAGTGAACAGTAATTGTGGAATGCCACTAAAGTTTTGTAGGTGTTTATTACAAAGCATTGTTATGACAATAGCTATCAATACAATCCCTAAGGGTCATTTGCCTCTAAAATGTGGACATTACGTAACTTCTGGTAATCCTGCTCCCCATATTGTGGGTAGCTGTGTATTTAACAAGCATAATTCTCAAGATCTGATGGCATTTAAGTCTTTCTGATAGTTTTTTTTAAGATTGTATTTATTTGACAGAGAGAGCACAAGCAGAGGGAGAGAGGGGGAGAAGCAGGCTCCCTGCCGCGCAAGGAGCCCAATGTGGGACTCGATCGCAGGACCCCGGGATCATGACCTGGGCCGAAGGCAGCCGCTTAACCAACTGAGCCACCCAGGCGTCCCTCTTTCTGATAATTTTGACAGAAGACAACAAGCATCCTGTCTTTGCCCTTGCCCTCCTGGGAGATCTTAGCCACCCTGTTTGAATCTTTTTGTGTCAAACGGAGATATCATGTCACATCTCGGAGAATGTGGACTGACTAATTAACAGAGAAAAAACAGGGTTAAAATGCACAGTGCTATATAAACGCCAAGGAGGAGCTGAAATGAACTTTCAAAGTTAAAATATTACCTGAAGTTCCTGGGTTTGGCTTGTAATTTTTTTATAATATACCAGAAGATATTCCAGGTACAAAGACAATCCTTGAAAAGAGAAGCAAGAAGGTAAGTATCAATCCGATTCACCTCCTTTGCTTTCCAAATAATGTGGTAACAGAGCTTGCTCGCAGGTGGATGCGGGCAACAGGCCCCCCCCCCATCAAGAAGACATGAGTTGCCATCCAATGTGTGTTTTTAAAATGGTTGGTCAGCCTTGAATGGGTCCAGTTTCTTTTTGAAGGTAGAAAATGAAACCACCAACAGAGCACCTGTTGCCTAAATGTCCCCTGTGTGCAAAGCCATGAGCTGAGTGTTGGGGGGCGGGCAGGGGATGCTATTGATGCTATGAAGCTATTTCTCAAGGTTCAGTGTGAGGCATGGGGTCTAACTGATGGGAAATAGGCAGTGGCTCCACGTAGCACGTAAGTGACTGTTGACGGAGTGCGGGAATGTGAGAGTCTCAGAGGAGGAGAGGTCATTAGCCTGGAGGGATCATAGGAGGCTACTTGGCCAAGGAGCTACTGGGCATGGGCACTGCCGGGTAGGCAGAATTCAGAGTTGGAGGGGAGGGCATTTCTGAACAGAAGACGTGCATGCCAGGCTACATGGTGGCTGCCAAAGATACCCACGTCCTAGTCTCTGGAGCCTGTGAATGTTACCTTACGAGGCAGAGGGAACTTTGCAGATGTCATCAGGTTAAGGACCTTGAGATGTGGGGGGTTAGCCTGGATTATTGGGTGGACCCAGTATCATCCCATGGAAGGACCTGACTCCAGACAGACAGAGGACAGGTGACGTGAGAGAAACAGAGCCTGGAAGATGGTGCACTGCTGGCTCTGAGGATGCAGGAAGGGGCCACAAGCCAAGGAATGTGAGGAATAAAGCTCTAGAGACTGGAAAGGCAAAGAAATGGATCCTTGCCTAGAGCCTTCAGAAGGACCCAGCCTCGCTGACACACCCTCGCTGATTTCAGGCTTTTGGCTCCCAGGACCATATGTGAATAAGACACTGCATTTGTGGTACTTGTGAGAGCAGGCACAGGAAACTAACATGGTGGTGGGGGGCAGGTGGGGAGCTGGGGAAAGGCAGCACGTATCCCGTGAGGGTGCCGCGCTTAACTGGGCCGCACGGATGGTGTGAGGCAGGGCGCGGAAGGTTGGGTCAGTTTGTGGCAGGGCTACACTACAAAGTGCAGACTTGATTTAAACATCTCTGAAGTGTGCCGAGCATGTGCTGTGTGCCCGGCTCTCTGCCAGGCGGTCAAGGCATCACCCTACTGTATCACCTAATCATGCCCCTGTGTGACAGGTGAGGCAGCTGGGCTCTGGGACCTGTGACGGCCGAGTGCCACAAGGCTGGCCAATGGCCGAACCAGGCCTTGGGCTCAAGTCAGCGTGATGCCGGCGTCTGAGTCACTGTGACTTCAGTTGCCGATGGAGCAATGAACTGCCTTGATGAAGTGTTTTGTTGTTTTGCTTTTTAAAAAAATTTTTCAGAAAAATAGCTGGGATGAATTAGAGGCGAAGGGACTAGCAGGGTATCCTAACTGAAGCTCTACTGATAGGTGGGGCTAGGCAATTCTTTGTTGGGGGGGGGGCATCCTGTACACTGTAGGATGCCAGGAGCACCTTCCACCCCAGCTGTGACAACCAAAATGTCTTCAGACATTGCTGGGTGTCTCCCAGTGGCCAGATCCCTTGCTGCAGGTTAGAGGCTGAGAGCCCACGGACGTCCAGATCTTCAGTGCTGAAGTTCTAAAATAGGGTGGGAGAAATTGGGATAAAAGGGAGAGAGAGAAAGCTCTTTCTAGGGGTTGGACGGTGGCCTCGCTGTCAGACAGAAGAGACAGGTTGGGTGGTGTGGGGCCTGGAGAGAAGGGAGGAGCCGCCAAGCTCGGTTTCAGACATGTGGAATTTGAGGTACCGAAAGGACTGTCAGGAGGGGTGGTTGGCGGAGGGCAGGAATAGCCCGGCCCACCCATGGTCTTTGTGAGATTAGGAAGGTGCAGCCTTCTTCCTGGTGGACGTGGCCCTGGCCAGGGGTCCCACCTGCTGCCTTATGTGGCACCGAATCTGCACTACCATTCCTGGCAGTGTGGATGTGGAGGTGTCCCCTTGGCCACTGCTGCCATGGGGGGGGGGGTTGTTGAAGTACCTGGATGGAGACTTTCTTCATGAGAAAGGAGACGAGAGAGGGAGGACCACCGACTGCATTGGAGAAGACACTCGGGTAGGGGCAGGAATAGGTAAAAGGGGCTGCTGAAAACAAACGGAGAAGGTCCGGAGATGGGCAGGGTACGCCAGTCCCAGGAAAGCCAAGGGGTGAGAGTGTTTCCAGGAAGAGATCCCAGAGCGTCGGGTGCGCCAGCGAGAACACAGGCTGGAGAAAGACGGCGGGCCTGTCAGTGTAGGAGGGCTCCGGGTCAGTTACACGCAGGGGCAAAGCAAGGAGGCAAAGATAGAGCAGGACACTTGCCATGAAGACAGAGGGCGTAACACACTTCCTCAAGATCATAGGTGGGACGGGAGTGTCAGTAGTAGAAAGAGAGCTAAAGATGCAGCAGGTTCCAGGGAAGGATTGCCCTCTTGAGAGGCGTGCTGGATGGCAAGAGGAGGAATAAGGGGGAGCGAAAGGCTGTAGGTGTCAGAGAAGGAAGCCATAATTCTGGACCTTGTGCACAGGCTCCCTGGGAAGGGACAGCGAAGGGGAGACACGGGGAGGGAAGGGCTGCATCTGGAGAAAGCAGTGAGAATACAGTGGGAGTTTGGAGGGAAGGGAGAAAAGATGGTCGAGAGAGAGAGAGAGAGAAAGGAAGAGAGCTGAGTATGTTCATGCCTGGAGCCTTGCTCCCTGGCCGTGCAACTTGCAGAGAATTTCCAGCATGCAAGAGTAGAGCAGTAATATAATAATAGCTATCGAGTATTAAGTACCTGCTGTGTGCCAGGCACCATGCCAGGAGTTTTACACGTGATACTTTCTCATCGTTATAAACAACCCAGCAAGGAAATGTGTTTGCATTTGTAGGTGAGGCAACAGAAACTCAGCAAGGTTGAGGTACAGAGCTGGCTAAGTGGTAGGATCAGAATCCAGACCTCAGTCTATCATTCTCTTTCAAGTGACTGGAGGCTTGTGAATAAGGGTTGGGGTGGCAAATATGAAGGGTTTATCAGGAGAGGTGCTCTGCGAGGGTATCAAGGTGGCAGGCGTTGGGGGAGGTGGCCTGGGTGATGTTGGCATGAACTTTAGGAGCACATGGATTTGGGGGGGCTAACTTGGGATTCAGTCTGTGACCCAGGAACCCAAGGGGAACGAGCAAAGCATGAGTAGGATTCGGAGAGGATTAGAGAGAGGAAGGACTCAGGAATGTTGAAGGGTGAGAGGGAGAGTATGACCACGTGTCTGGGTTCGATGATGAGCTGTAATCATAATGGGATTTCTCTCTTCTCGAGAAGCAATTCTTCATTATATTTCTGGTTACAAAAGTTATGTGTCTATTATACAAATCCAAACATTATAGACATCCACGACGTGGAAAGTGTTCACTGCTCTAGCTTCCCAGGCCGGCACACAGTAGGCCTGCAACAAATAGTTGATGAACGACCAAATGAAAGCAAAGGTCCTATGTAATCCCACCATGCTGGATAATGCTCCCGACACTTGCATGTCTTTTTCTTCAGATTTTTCTTTTGGTTGGATACTGATACTTAGAAACGGGAGCACACTGGGGCGCCTGGGTGGCTCCGTTGGTTAAGCGACTGCATTCGGCTCAGGTCATGGTCCCAGGGTCCTGGGATCGAGCCCCGCATCGGGCTCCCTGCTCGGCGGGAAGCCTGCTTCTCCCTCTCCCACTCCCCCTGCTTGTGTTTCTCTCTCTCTCTCTCTCTCTGTCAATTAAATAAATAAAATCTTAAAAAAAAAAAGAAATGGGAGCACACTATGCATATTGTATTATAATCTCCTTTTTTCGTTTAAAAATGCTGTGTATTTTGGACGTCTGAGAAAGAGTGATTTTTCTGTGCATGCTGGGAAGCCTTTTATTTGTAACAAAGTCTTGCAGAAATAGACACAAACAACGACCTTGCAAGAAAAAATGCAGTCCTTTCTTTCCTTTATCAAAACAAGCCGAGAAACCGGGCAGGAGGAGTGGGGACTAACTTTCAAGGTCCCTCTTTAGACATTTCACATCTTCCCAGCTGGACCACACAGCAAATCCTTCACCAGTCAGGTCTTTAGTGGCAACACGAACCTTCTGGGTCCCTTAGGATGCTAGCCAACAATACTTCAAATAGTTCCCCTTTACATTACTCGACCTGCATTCCCTGGGGGATTTATTTCAGGATTTACAAACCTAGCTGTTAGGTGTGCTTTACCTCTTAGGACAGTATTGGAAAAGGCAGGTGGTATGGTAGTTAAGAGTAGGGGCTTGGAGATCAGAGGGATCTGAACTGAATCCCAGATCTACCACTTGGCTGTTGGGACACTCGGCCCATTGTCATGACTCTAGGAAGGAGACCTGGGAAGGGCTCTTTTGGGTGCAACCCAACTGAGTGCTCATGGCTAAGAAAATCTCATTTGCTGCCAAATGGAGATGGGAGGTTGCAGGTCAAGTTACCTCAGTGTGAATAAATCAAGCTATACTGCCTACACGTATACCTATCTGACCCATGTTTGGGTCAAATTAGGTCAACAAATATTTCAGGTTGGCGATCATGGCAGCTTCTGTTTATTAAGACTACTGTGGCCCAGGCTCCATGATTGGTGCATGCATCTCAGTGTTTAATCCTTACAACATCCTGATGGGATCTTAGCCCCATTTTATGAACAGGAAAACAGGGGCGCACAGAAGTCAAGCAACCTGCTCACACAACTAATAAGTGCACGGTTGAGATTCAAACTTTGGCAGCTGGTCTCCAAAGCCCATGCTCAGAACGATTTTGTTGGGGAATGCAAATGAGCCTTCAGAGAGGCTCATCAGAGAGGCAGCTCGCCTTGGGGAGTGAGCACTCTTAGCTCTTTCTCTGCCCAAGTTGATGACAGAATCTGTC